CTTAAAATACTTAATAAGCCTCCAATTATCCTGTGTCTCCTACTACTACCTCACCTTGATTCTTCCCTTTATAGCCCAGAATCTAGAAAGACTATAAATCTAGTCCAAATCAAAGTGTATGTTTTCTTCACAGTCAGATAAACTGCATAAAGAGAAGATGTATTTAAAATTTCAATGGCTGAAAAACAATTATATACATATTAATATTTAAGTTAAGCCAACACCCAAGTAAGACAAAATGTTACATTACTACTTCGAAGTTTTATTTTTAAGTATTAAGAGTGTTTGCAGCGTTTGCTTCCATAGCAGCAGCATGACATGGTAGAATACACATATGCTTTGGAGTCTGACACACTTGAGTCCAGTCTCATTTAATTATTGCTATAGACCCAATATAAACTGAGTGACGTAACAGTAGTGAATGGACCTCGCTGGTCCTGGTTATTTGGTCTATAAAATGTATATATCAAGGCCTACTTTGTACATGTGTTGCTGTCAGGATTAAATGAGATCATGGTTAGTAAAATGCCCGCCACTGCCAGGACCCCAACAGGCACTCAAAAATGGCCCTCATTATAGTGACTAATTATCCTTTTTTAGACAACCAGATTTTATAGATCTTCACTTTAAACAAGTACATCAATGACCAATTTTTGACACAAGTCTTTATAAATTAAGATGTATTCTAAGTTTGGTTAATCTCAATGCCAACCGTGGCACAACTCTTTGGAGACTGGGCAAGATAAAACCCTAAGTTCTGTTTCTGGAATTTTTTCTAATGACGATGTCCTGAAAATTCCATTTCCACCAATGGTGAGAGCCCTGAAATGCTGAAGTAGAGATGACTATAAGGACTGATATACTAGGACTCTGTCAGGTGATTAATAGGCTAAATGCATAGTCTCCCAACATCACCACTACTTCTCTTGCTTATTGACCACTTGTAGTTTTTAAAAAGAATATTTTCAGTTTGAAAAACTGAAAAAAAAAAGTTTGTAGTCAAGCCTGACTTTATGACTTAATTTCTTCAGCTTATTCTCTTGAAAAAAAAAATAGAACAATACCTTAAAACACTTGAAGAGTGATTGAATGGGGGTAAATATATAGCTTTGCATAGGACCAACAAATACATCATGGATTCTCCATAAATAAAATAAACAACAGTTTACTCTCTTGGAAATAATTTGAAAGGGACTAACTGGATTTAATAAGAAAGACAGTGAGGCCACATGAGGAAGCAGAGCTAGACCAGAAGATAGTCTGGCTGCCTGATTTGGGAAGATCATTTACCTTTCCTCATTCTCACTGCCATATCTGTAAAGTGGGGGTAATGCTTTTTCATCCTCCTTACTCCAAAGGGTTGATATAAAAGAGGAAAACATACTAGTGTCTGGGAAAGGACTTTTAAAACTAAATATATTGTTTTTTTTTCCCCAGCAACAGTGGGGTAGAAAAGCCTCCAGGAAACAACAACGAAAACAAGCTGAATACCATGTTTCTTAAAAATATATTTGAAAAAATATATATATATTTGAAGACAACAGAGAGTTACCAAGGAAGTGAAGGCTTCAGGAGCCAAGATCTAGGAGAGAAGAAAAACCCAGCAAAGCAAACCTAACATCGGATGCCTCTGCTTTCCCTTTAAAGGCATTTACTGATGCATTTACTGACTTGACATCAGTAGCTAACAGGCTGAGAAGATGAACAAAGCTTCTGGCCATCTCACAGGATGGAGGGAACAGAAGTTGGCATTTAGGGTCTATCAAGAAAGGGGGCCCTGGAACAATCTCCTGACTTAAATTGGAACCCTTAAAGAGCAAAAAACCCTATGAGTAAGAGTTAACAAGAAATAGATCTGCCTTCAGGAAGTCTAGCTTTGAGTCAACCCAAAATCTGATTGGAATAAAGTGATCTGCTCCTTACCTTTACTGCCTGTAAAAGAAAATCTGCTTTTTTTGGAAGGTTACAACATTTAAAGCCTCATACTCCAAAATCTTTTATACATAATGTTTGGCATTTGAAGCATAATCAGGCAAGCAAAAACCCAAGGAGAAAACAGAAAAAAGACGATTTAAAAATCCTTAATATATTTTGATACTCCACAATATATTCTGATACTGGAGTCAGACAAAAATCAGGAGAAAAAAATACCTCTTCAAAAATTTAATCAGATGAGTGTAAGGATACTGCTAAATTAGCTGCTTTCAAATATAATCATTTTCTGAAAAAAAAAATTGAAAACTTACCCTTACAGCAAACAACCTCACATTGTGTCCACTTAAAAAATGCAGTGAATTTCTAAGAATTATGATGAGATTGAGAAGAATGAAACAGAAAACCTCTAGAGCTTTCTTTTTCCTATGATTATCATAACTTCGTAAAGGGGTTTTGGGGAGATTTTCTTGGACACAAAAAATCAATGACTTTATTCCAAAAATTTTAATCAACTGTCCTATGCAATTTACATGAAACAGCAGATTCCACTTGGATTTTTACTACGCTTAATTTTTTAAAAGCATCATGGAGTAGATTTTTTGCTAATAAAATACAACCATTTTGGGGCGCCTGGGTGGCTCAGTTGGTTAAGCGACTGCCTTCGGCTCAGGTCATGATCCTGGAGTCCCGGGATCGAGTCCCGCATCCGGCTCCCTGCTCAGCGGGGAGTCTACTTCTCCCTCTGGTGCTCTCTCTCTCACTCTCTCTCTCAAATAAATACATAAATAAAATCTCTAAAAAAAATCTTTAAAAAATAAATAAAATACAACCATTTTGACTATAATAGACTAACATAATTATTTCTTCATCAATTGCTCCATTCATTCATTCATTAGAAACTATTAACATCATTACTAGAACAGGAATGAATTTTGATCATCACAATCAAATGGATTTGGTTTTGACCTAAGTACAGGAAAAAGAGACCATATTATGATTTTTAATTCTCAAGAAAGAAAGCAATACATGGATAATAATGCAGGATATATTTTAGGCTTGATACTATTTTAAACGTAACTATAGAATTAAGTAACCTAATGCAGAAACCAAGTTCATCTCAGATATGGCAACAGATATGTGGACAACAACATCTGAGGCGGGAAAGGTCTATGATCTAAGACTGCTAAGAGTTTCTAAGTGATTGAGTGCTTTACTGGCTATCTGCCATTCTTTAGAGGTCTTCCATTAAATCTGAATATTTCATCCATTTATCTCGGTAAATGAAATTTATCAACAATATTTAGTTTTTCATTTTTATCTAGAGCTGAATTAACTCTATCCCATCACATCAACCAGACTGCAAGATGAGAGAACCAGAATCTTTTCGTGAAAAAGAGGTTGGAGAGGGACCAAAAGAGACTTGCTTCCAAAATAATTCAAACAAATAGAGGGAAGTAGGTAAATAGTAAGTGCTAATGGTAGATGATGGCTTTAGTGTGACATTCCTGTCCTGCAGTTATTTACAATTGAAGAACATGGTATTTCTCTTGGATAGACCATAATTAGCAGAGAAATATGTTAGTTCTCCTTAGAGAGACCTCGTGGCTCCAAAGGCAGTAGGATCTAACTAAATTGACTCTGTTAATGTGCCTAAAGAAGAAATATGTCTATGAAAGAGTTAGCTATAGAGGTGTGGAAAAAGAAGCCATTTCTGGCCAATTTTAGTAACATTCAAGTAAATTAGACCAGAAGAGTCTTCACTAAGCACAAGGGAACATGATGATCTTAGAACAAGATTATTTTTCTGGTGGATCAGTGTCTCAGCTTCCTTAGCAGCAGAGAATCACTTCAAATTTGTTCTGAGTTTCAGAGAGGTAAGCAAATCACTCTAGGTTAAGTATTTGCCCTTTAAGTCAGGATCCAGAACCATGAATCCAAACGACTATCAGCCAACTGCCACAAGAAGTATATGTCTTCAGGTTAATGATATTCACTTCCCAAAGTTGATTCATTTACTTGTAAAGTATGGATAGAGTTAAAATGTTATAATTTTTAAAGTCTTATAATTCACATAACTTGTTCTAAGAAAATTTCAATGTATATATGAGCAAAATCATGTATCTGTTGAAGATACATATGTAGCTCCAATCAAACTGGACCATTTTAGTCCTTGCAATCTGAAGATCCAAATCTGCACTGGGGAACAGTAAAAACAGACAGAACCTTTGAAAACCAACATGAATACCTTTTGAAGTTCTTGAAGCAGGCAGCCAACTGAACCAGGTAGAGTTGGGATGGGGAGGAAGGGTAGGAGTGCTCCTTTCCTGACAAATTCTAACCCTATCCCCTGCAGATCTCTTTCTCCTTGGAGTCCATCCATTATATTGTTTGCTCATTCATTCAGCAAACATTTATTGAGAATTGACTGCGCTACAGGTACTCAGGCTTTATCAGCAGTTCCCTCAATCTTTCCCTTGTCTTCTCTCTGCACCCTACTTCCCTCTTAACCCATTCTTAATCAACAAGAACTCTGTATCAGTGAACAGCTTCTAACCATTTCTAATATGTACCTACTTAGTCACTTTGTCTTCTTCCAATTCCATTCTTTTTTGATTACCCCAATGAGCACAGCAAAGGGTTGTGCTTAAAACTTAAAGGCTGTGTCTCTTTTACATATTGTTTGCCTATATTATGCTCGATCAGATTTTCAGGCATACTCATCAAATATTTTCTCATGAAATAGTCTCATAAATGCTACCATTTAGTTTAAATTTAGAATGACTTTAGAAATCTGTTTTTATTGGGAAAGTAAATATTTGCAAAAGTAAACTGATATTACAGTGTTTCATTTTTTACTCACTAAGCAAGGCAAATTTTCACCTACCCACATCATAGCAAATAACACTCTCTCTCCATTCTGTACTCCTCTTATGATTTATTTTAGTAGAATTTATCAAGTGGCATGATGTGTCATTATGAAAATCATCAGGAGAAATTTCCCTTTGATACTTTTTGGTGCCTGGAAGCAAAACCTCTCTCTGGTTAGATTTCTAGGGCCAACTCACCTGTCAAACAGTTCTCCTCCCGTGACCAGTTCTAGGACCAGACTGATTTCTGTAGGGGTTTCAAATATCTCTTTAAGTTTTATCTGGGGAAAGATATTAAAAATAAATCATAAATTCCTTATTTTCAACTTTCTAGGAAAAAGCCAACGCTATGACTAAAATAACACTCTGTAATAGTAATACATTGGATCATTGTCAATAAAGGTACCACAATCTGGTAACAAGAAGCCATCTGTCACTCTCTGGTTGTTTTTATCAGTTTCCTCATTTCCTTAAAGGTCCTTTTGAGTTTTTATATTTTTTCTTTTGACAGTTGAAAGATACCTGCCTTAGAAACACTTCCTAAATTTTGCCAGAACATCACATTTCTGAATTGCTCCAGAATTAAAAAACAAAAGCAGGCAAACAAAACTTCTTGAACCATTTGAAAGCATCATGGTTCCTAGTGATGCAAATGCCTCCTTCTCCTGAAAGCGAACTTGGAATTGGGATCTGAGGCAGAACGGGACTAGGTTAAAGTCCGTCATGTCAATTTCATGTTGTGATTAATAAAAACATTTTCTTCTTCTTCTTCAAAAAAGTCTATCTGTACAGAAAGGATATCTCTCAACAGCGAAAAAGTTGCTGGTGGATAAAGGGATCCTCAGAAAAGTAGTGATGGCATTGATTTGATTGACTATGGGTTTACATCACATTCAGATAATCCATCCAATTTTGGATATTTTCCTCAATATATCGGAGAATCTAGTGACCAGGGCTGATCTACATTTTGCTGTAGCTGTAAGTTCTGGAAAAGCCTCTCCTCTTCTCTTCATACTCTGTTGGCAAGGCCCTTCCAATTCTCTCTCTAGAGTATAGATTTGAAGACTTGTGAAGACTCTGGAGCAGCCATTTAGGACCATGAAGGAAAAGCATGAGGGTGGAAGATGTCTAGGTCCTGAATGGCATCACTGAGGAGCTGAACCAATGCTAGCAACTGTCTGCCTTCTGATTATAACATAAAGAAAATATTTGTATAGACTACCATATTCAAGTTTTCTGTTATTTATAGCTGCCTGCATTGCTAACCCATATGTTAAGTTTTAAGCACTTCACTTGGAGCCTAACTAAGCACTGCAGGTTAGTCATCCTCCTGGACACCACAACTTTCTCAAAGAAATGAGTAAAATATTTTCTTTAAGTAGTTGGCTCAATTCAAGTTATGGCCTGGAAAATGATTTTGTTCTTTTCACTTCATTGACTCAAGAAAGCTTTTGCCAGACCTTTCCCTCAGCGTCTTTGTCTGGACATAGCCTAGAGCAGAGATTCTGAGGACATTTTATTTTCCCCATTCAAGTACATCATTTATTTGAATCTTCACATTGTTTCTGAAGTAGATACTCTCTCAAAGGAGACTGAAATGACTTTGGAAAGCAATGCATTTTCTTCACAGGCTTTTTCAGCTATGGCTTATTAATAAGATAGGCACACAAAAGGGAAAAGCCCGTGTTTTATTAGTGAAACAAAACTCTTCAATTTTTAGTTATCCTTTTATGCATGAAAACAAAGGTGGTATATATTACTGAAACTTGTTCCATTTTGAAACTCGTTCGAGTGGTATTATTTTTAAGATTTATTCAGCTAAAGAAATGAAAAATGTGATCACATGAGGACAGGAGGTAGACCACGGTGGCTACCTATTGGTGGTGGAAGTATCCCCTTCTCATTATCAGCGCCGGCAGCAAAGAACAAAAATCCCAGTCTACAACTTTGAAGATTATTTGAAATAGTAGATTAAAAACCACTTACAATGTTTGGATGTGAGAGGCGAAGAAGAACTCCTATCTCAGTTCTTACAATTTTTTTGTCCACCTAGAAGGCAAAATGAAAGAGAGAAACTGAAAGAAACTCCCACCTTAGAAATGCCTTAACTGTAGCAGAGAATCAGAAACGGCAATAATCACCTGGGTGAATCAGGTAATTGGCAGAGAGGCTCATTCTTAAGCTTTTTTGTGTCTCTTTCCTACCACACCACCCCTTTTCAGTTGTATGTCTTTCTTCTCTGCTCAACATAAAGTAGAACTAGTTACAAATGTGGATCACAACTTGCCAAACCTCTTGCATGGCCCTATTTCAAAAATCACTGCTCTCACCACTAAGGCACAAGTTCATCTCAACCTGTCTCCTCCTCCTCTTCTTTTCTGTTACGAATTCCTGTCCCAAACCCACTGGAGTTGTCAATCACTTCACCTGCCTTTCTCACACAGAGGTGGGCACATAACCCAGCCGAATCAATCAGAATTCTCTTCCCGGGCCACGGTGATTGCATCAGGGATATCCGCCAGACCCAAGTCGTCCCAGTCAGGGCCCTCCCCAGAACTTTTGCTCACATAATCAAGAAAGAGGTATTCTCTTTTTCTTGAAATTGTGAGAGCAAAAGAGGACAGAGTCTGCCACTACCAGTGACCATTTTTAATACTCTACTTGTATCAAATGAAAGATCTTTGAAAAAGAGAGGCATTGCTAGAACAGGCAGATGACACTGACAGAGCTCTTCCAAAGAGTTCTTGCCTCACGCTCTAATTCAGTTTCTGCAGATGCTTATGAAGAAAATGTGGACACAGATTATCTTTATTTTTTTAATTATTATTTTTATTATATTTCCTGCTTTACTGAGGTATAATTGGTACCCCCCCCCCAAAACACACATAATTAATGTATATAATTTGGTGAGTTTGGGCATACGTATATGCTTGTATTATCATCATCACAAGGTAAATCAACATAACATTTAAAAGTTTCTTGTGTCCTTTTGTGTTGCGGGTGTGTGTGTGTGTGTGTGTGCGTGTGTGCGTGTTTGTGGTAAGAACACTTCAAATGACATCTACCCTCTTAACAAATATTTAAACACACAAGACTTTATTGTTAACTATAGGCATTATGTTGTACAAGAGATCTCTGGCACTTACTCACACTGTGTAACTGTAACTTTATACCCCTTGAACAACTCCCCATCTTCCCTCACTCATCCACTGGTAACCATGATTTTATTGTTTACTTCTATGAGTTGGACTATTTTAGATGTCTCATATAAGAGGAATCATGCAGTGGATACAAATTGTTTTTATTACAATCTTCTCTTCAGGTTAATAAAAATTTCTGCACTATTACAAAATAAATCTATTTTTCATTATTGCATAATGTTTTAAAAATTTTTAAGAAAAAAAAAGAACCTAAGCATTTCTTATTTAGGACTGTTAGCATTCAAAATGAATGTAACATTGTATGTCACCTATACTTCAATAATAACATTTTTTTAAATAGTAAAAAAGACTGTTAGTATTCAAATTTATTTTTCTCACTACACTTTTAGAGTTTATGCAATATAAAGTTTCCCTCTTGTTTTCATATATTTCTAATCAATATAAAATAAGTCAGTGGGATCCTTTAATTTTTTCATATATTTATATTAAACAAAAGCTTTTCTAATACAAATACACATTTTTAAATTTTTATTGTTATGTTAATCACCATATATTACATCATTAGTTTTTGATGACAAATACACATTTTAAGTAAATTTATTTTTTACCATGTTATGTCCCATATATTACATATTGGGATGACTTTTTAAAATTTTTTATTATGTTTTAGTTCCTTGAGAGTTAATTTATCTGAACTCTGGAAATACTCGGAACACACCAGATTATCTGGACAGGCAATCTTCTAATATAGTTATTTGTTTTGAATTCAGAATGAATTTCTCTTTAAAAACAATTTTGAAAAGGAAAATTATTTTTCCAGTGTACCCCAGATCAGTGGTTCTCAGAGTGTTAGGGGAGAAGCCTTTAGCGTCCCTGAGATTCTTTCAGGTCATGTGTGAGGCTATCCCCTTTTTCAGTTGCATATTTGAATGAGGCTAGATTTTTATCTATACTTGAAATAAAACAACAAATTGAATGCAGAAGCAGATGAGAATCAAACTGTCTTCTCTTTTTTCTTTCAAACTGTCTTCTATTAAGCCAGACAGTAAAGAGATTTTTTAAATAATGCTACTCCCTCTCTAGGTATTTTTTAATTTTAGAAAATCTAGTTACTTTTCACAAAAATACTATTTATGTTAAAATGTAATGGGTTTATTATTATGTTTTTAATTAATAAGTACTTTTAAAAATTCTGTTCTAATCTCTAATATAGTAAATGTGTATAACTATTTGGAATTCTCAATGATTTGAAGAGTATAAAGGGCTCCTAAAGCCCAAAAGCTTGGGAACTACTACTCCAGAATATTTAATATCATACAATTTAAAATAAAAAGCAGACAGAAAAGAACAAAAATTTAGTAATAATTAAATGAAAGAAAAAATGTGAACACAGTCTCCTCTCTCTTCCCTTGAATGAATGCTGGAGTCCCAGTTGAATGAGGTGCAGGTCATGACTTCAGAGGAGGCTGACAAGGGAGAAGCAGGTAAGAATCTTAGAAGAGGGATCTTAGAGAAAAATGGGGCATGAAAAACCAAAGAGAATAAGCGGACTGACAGAGCTTGGACTACAAGTCAGAGTGATGCCAACCAAAGAAACCAAGAGCAGGTAGAGTTGAAAGGGAGAAGCTGACAAAAGAGAAATGGACAGATAAACGACAAGACAAGACTGAGGTCAGAAAGTCTTTCCCAGAGAGATAAACCGAGGGCCATTTGCTATCTTTTTGAAACAAGGTCTCAGAGTTCCTAGGTGGTCCTGCTTTGGGGAGTGGTTCCTCCACAGGTATCACTTCTTGAAGATCACACAGGTGTGCCTCTTCACTGTCATATCATCTCACATCTTTCCGATATTCCTCTTGTTCCAGAAATTAGTGTTTCGTTCCCACTCTGACCTCCCCCTCCAAGTTCCTGGGAAGGCCAGGAGAGAGACTGAGTCCTGATCTTGCCACTCAGCATCAGTCATGTTTTTCTAGAAAATAACTGTCAAGCCCACCACAAAAGTCATTGGGCAGCTATCTGAATAGTCAATACTGCGACCTGAAATTAGCTTCCAAGTGCTACTATAATTAGCATCTTCAGAAGCACCAACAGATGGTTTTAACAAATAAATATTACAAAATTGAAACCCATAAAATTACCTTCACTATTTATAAAATACCTTGAAGAATGGTAGTTTTTTACTACTAACAATTCACAATTATAAAATATATAATGTATATTACTAAAATTCTAAGTTAGGGGATGTATTTTAGCCCAGGTCCCCCAGCAAACAAATGTGAGGCAAGTATCAACATGCTGGTGTTTTATTTGGGAAACGTGCAGTTAGAGCAGGGACACAGGGAAGTCTGACAAGGTAAGAGGTGACACAATGCAGTAAGCACACTGGCTACTGTGTCATAATGAGCTGTAAAGAAATAGCAGGTCATATGGGCAGTTGCATCCACCTGGCACAGCGTACTTGTCCAGAGGAGCTGTACCAGGCCATCGTGCCTTGAAGAAGTTCATAGGAAAGAGGGAGAATTCACCTGCCTTGGAACCTACTCCTCCTGTTGCCCACAGGTGAAATCTGGCCCTACGGTGGTAACTTTTCCAGACTTTTAGGTTGCCTATCCAGTCTCTTCAGCAGTTGTGATGCCATACTCTTTCTCATGAGGTGTTATATCTCATTCAAATCTAGAAGTGGCTAGAAGGGCAAGAAGTTTCAGCTGTGTGTTTGGTTGGCCTAACTGCATGCAGTGGACAGTGGGCAATGAAGCTCTCCCGGGTCTGGACGACTGATGGACAGAAGGAATCTGAAGAAGCCCAAAGGAGTTTGTCCAGTCACAGTGCCTTCTTAAGTTTTTACCTGTCATAAGGTAAGCCAGATTGACAACCATGGAATTACAGTCCTGCCTCTTTAGCTTACTGCATTTTACTGCTAATCAGATTATTGAAAACTTTGTCTTCCACTTACACTGTTTTATTGTTCCAGTTGTCAATTTGAAATGGATTGGGCACTTGGGGTTTTTCTTAAAAACTCTTTTAACTCCTCTATTTAAATTGCCCTAAATACTAAAAAAATACCTCCTTTTCATTGTCATGAAATCACCTTTGAAACATCCAATTTTAATGGCTTTTGAAATACTTTCAATATAAAACATACCTTTAGAAGATTATACATAAGAAAACATTAATAAAACAATTTAATAAAAGTGGTTAGTATACAGATGTGTCTGGTTTTAAAACTCCACAGAACTCGGGTGCCTGGGTGGCTCAGTTGGTTAAGCGACTGCCTTCGGCTCAGGTCATGATCCTGGAGTCCCAGGATCGAGTCCCGCATTGGGCTCCCCGCTCAGCGGGGAGTCTGCTTCTCCCTCTGACCCTCCCCCCTCTCATGTACTCTCTCTCCCAAATAAGTAAAATCTTAAAAAAAAAAACAACTCCACAGAACTCAAGATTGCTTAATATTGAAAGAAATCCCAATTTTACTATCTTTCTCCATGGGGGGAGAAAAAGAAATGGGTAAAAGGCATAATTCTAGAGCAACATCAGAGAAAAAGCCTCCATCATTGGAATAGAGTTAATCAAACATGGACCCTTCATTAAGATATAGAGCAGATACACTCCCATGCTGGGGCTGAGGAGCTTGCAGAAAAGAAGGGAGAAAGGTTTGACAGATATGTGAAGAAGAAATGATGAGGACTTAGGGAAAGAAAAGGAAACCAGTTTCTGTACTGTGGAAATGATGGATAGAAGCAGAGGTGGTAAAGGAATTGAGGAGAAGAAGAGGACTTTTTAACACCAGATTTCTGGTGGACTTGAGCCACTTGGGCATCTCAGATGTGGCCTAGATCCAGACTCTGGGATTTTAAATACTCTTGGTGGGTTAGGGGAACCTGTATGAGTAGAGAC